TTACCCAGAAGTTCCAGAGCCAAGTGTGTTCAGTATGAAACATTGTTTGCCTTAGAGTACGGTTATCCTCCTGCTGCTAAAATCATTCCAGCAACAGCTGAATTATCAACTATCATGGTATTATAAGGAAAGTTTCTGGTTTAAGATTAACCTTGTCCTAGGTAAACTCTTATATCCCTCCAAACTGGTAGCTTTCATATTTTTATTCATTTATCTTTGACGTTTAAGAAGACCTACTTTATGTGCTCCCAATTATAGACTCCCTCTGTTTTTCCTTTTGTAGCTGGAGTATAGGGAAGGCTTCTCTCCCAACTTCCTAAAGCTTTAACCATTTTTTCACCGAGGTGTATAGAACAGAATTTGGTTACCTTTTAGGTAACTTTATTTAATTCAGTAAAACCTTGGTTTATGAGCATAATTCAGTCCGGAAACATGCTTGTAATCCAAAGCACTTATATATCAAAGTGAATTTCCTCATAAGAAATAATGCAAACTCAAATTATTTGTTACACAACCCCAAATATGCACATAAAATTACTATACTACAAAATAATAAAGAAAATACAAATATACAGAAAAGTAAACAGATTAACCTGTAATTGCCTTTGAATACCTTCCCTGCTGGTGTGAAAGAGATAAGAAAGAGGAGGATTATTGTGTAGGACTTTCACTGTCACTAATGGAGTCACTGCTGCCTATCATTGGTATCACTTTCTTTTTGTGCAACTTTAACAAGGAACCTATCCAATAACACTTGCTTTTTTGCCTTCTTTTGAGGATTTCATGGAAATGTGACATTGCATTGTCCTTAAACAGATTTATTGCTTGCACTTCTACAGCCTCATTTGGGTGTTGCTTTTCTACAAAATTTGCAATTTCCAAAATTTTACTTATTTCTCTAATCTCATGTGAAGTGAGGAATTCCTCCACCTTTTTCTCTTCCCCCTCTGTAGACAAGATCTCCCCTCCAACCCTTTGCTGTTGGCAGTCTCCCACAATCTTGCAGTGAGAGTGAGAAGAACCATTGGCTTGGTTGTGATCATGTGTCATTTGGCATCACAGCCTACTTGTATTACAAGACATTGCTCATTTATCATGTTCAAATTTACTAGAAATGTTTGCTCCTGTTGTTGAACATTCACAGAACAAGTTATTTGCAGCCCAACATTCTATTTTATACCACAGTTCTTCATTTTCAATGTGTCACAGTGCATTCTATTGCATGTATAATTTGTGTATCTCATATAGGAGCTCTGGCATTGAGGTGAGTTAAAAAGATGTGCTAGGGCCAGGGATTTAGCTTAGTGGTGCCACCACCTGCCTTGCAAGTGCAAGGTCCGGAGTTCGATCCCCAGTAACACAAACAACAACAACAACAACAACAAAAAGATGTGTTAGTTTTCTATGTGTTGTGCACTGAGGAGCAGGAACTTTATCTCCTTTGTTTCTTTATATGATTATTCAAAACTACTCAAGCCATATTTGTCAGCACTATTGAAAAAGTTACTGGGATTTAAATGCAGATACCAAGATACCCAGAGACTTGGCAATCTTTCAGCTCTGACTTGGTCCTTCTCAGCCTTGAAATGTGCTCCAGTCTTTGGGCATTTATATGAAATCTCAGTTGGAATGAGTACGTCATCATTAGACTGTAAAGTGAGTTAGCTTGTGATGAAGAGCTATGCTTTCAGGGACTTCAGGACTTTAAACTTCACTCTTGAACTTCAGTTTCAGAATGTTTTAGGGAGTAGCACAGTGGATGGAGTAAGACTCATTATCTCCTGTTTTGATCTATAAGGAAAAATGGGGCAATTTCACATGGATCACCTTTGTTGTTTCTAGGCAATAAAGCTGTTTTGTCTTTTAACTTCAGCCACCAAATCGTGAAATCCAGTAGTTAAAGTGATTATCAGGTGCCTGCACACGAATGCTAATTGCATCCATTGTCCCTGGAAGACATCAAAATGTGCTTTAGTTTGTGGAGAGTGGGTACAAACTCAGTATTATTACCTGTCTGTGGCTCAGTGCTTTAGGATTGGGAATTTTGGCCCTTCTTTTTGCAAGTATCCCTTTAGCTAATCTTTGTGGTGGTGCCTCCCATTTCCCCCTTTGTATATGATATAGAACCCACTTGACTTAGAAGTTGATTGATCCATTCAGTATTCACCCTTGTAGTTGCTATATGCTTGTATTGCTTTTCACATTTTCCTCAGTTTATTGTCTCAATCACCATTAACTCTATTAGACATTATTATTGGTAAATCCAAAGTACTCAAGAGACGCTGGGCATGGTGGCACATGCCTGTAATCCCAGCACTCGGGAGGCTGAGGCAGGAGGATCACTGTGAGTTCGAGACCAGCCTGGACTACATAATGAGTTCCAAGTCAGTCTCAACTACATAGTGAGACCCTGTCTCAAAAAACCAAAAACAAACAAACAAACAAACAAACAAAAAAACAAATAAATAAAAAACAAAGTACTCAAGAGTAAAGAAGTCCAAAATAAAAAAGAGATGCTACTTTGTGTTTACCTGTGAGTCAGTCCTGTAAAGAACCAAACTGGAAAGTCTGAAGGACTCTTGTAACATTTGCTTATGTAGGAGGGTCCAGGGACCAGTAAAACTTTGATTTTTAACATAAGCCAGTGATGGCCTTTGTGGTTAAGAATATAATTAATCAGGATATTCCCAGCACATTCAGGCTTTTCCTCTGGACTTTAATATTTATCTAGAGATGACACCCCTGCCAAAAGATGCTGACAGCAAAGATATCTAGGCTATGACCAGAAAGAGCCCATAAAAGCTAGAAGTTATTAATGTTGGACTAGGAAGAGGAACCTCAGCTATTTCTTTTAAAAAGGCTTCAGAGATTTATTTTAAGATTTATTCATTAAATAAGATTACTGGGTAACAGACCCTGGAGAAATAACAAACTAACAATAACTGTAAAATATCTATCTTTACAGCTGAAATTGCATTATCACTATTTCATTTTTTTTCCTAGCCTTTTTAAATGAGTAAACAAATGTGATCAAGGGCAATTACTCATAGAAGGGTACTACAGAAGTGTTGTTACTAGATTCTAAAACTGTGCAGCACCATTACTAATGATCTCACATCTACTTATAGTCTTGTGCCTTTTGTGAGAGATGCTGATTCTGTAATTCTTTTCTTCCAGGTAAAAGTCATTTGGTTGCTTGTAAAATGTTTTGCTATCAATTTTGTCATACTTATTGTCCCAGTAGAACTTTCTACCTCCTGCTTTTTTTCAATGGGTTACATACATAAATGATTTTGACTAAAGTTTATAATTTTATTGTAATGATGCATGATAGCGTAACAATAAATAGAAATAATATGTCTAAGAATTAAAAATATTCCAACTCAATAATTCATGTACTTGGCTGCTTGAAAACAATGCTGTAATAATAATAAAATTTTAATTTCTGGCTTCTGTTGGGATTAATGTTGTACTTGTGAGAATCACAGAGCAAAACATGCAGATTTATTTTAAATAATCAAAGAAAACTTTAATATATATTAAGAGAAATGTTCTGTATTAATATTTTGCCAACAACAAAAATATATTAGGAAACCCCCTATATTTTAAATAAATTCACTAAAATACATTTTTGGTCATAAATGAAAAAATTAAAAATTTTCTATATTATTTATATATTATTTTGTTCATTAAGTATGTATGTTTTAGAGTTTGCTTACTTTTCTTTCTTCCAAATAGCATGATAAATTTGTGAATGGTTAGAAATTTGTTGATTTTTCCAACTCCCTAAGAAATGTAACAATAAGAAAACAGTTTGAAACCTCTTTTAAAGCAATTTTAATTTTGTTTTCATTCTTGGTTTGCAGTTAGGGGTTGAGAATTTCAAATTTCAAAGAAAAACAACTTTGGAAATTTAGTGCAGTGTGCATGCCTGGATAAATGAATGCTATAGCTTTAAGATAAGGTAGTCTGGTGATTCATCGCAGGAAACAAGATCGATTTGGAGCAGACTCCTACTGTTAGCTTTTTTGAAGATGGATTCTCACGCCGAAAATAACACAACATATTCTAGATAACAGCAGTTTTCCCCCTGAAATCCACCAAAACTGAAGAAAAATTCAAGTGACTGTTCTTAGCAGCTGTGTGGCCTGGAGTTCACTGGGGAAGCTGGCTTCCTGCAGTCCCCTATTCATCACCTGCTTCAAAGACAGCCTGGCTGGCTATAGTTTGCAGGCCAGGTAGGGTGCCATTGTGCACAGTCTGGGAGGATTAGTATCAAAGCTGCGGCAACCAGGCCCTTGGTCTCAGGCTGCCATTCAGTCTAGCAGGGAGAGGCTAAGACTGGCCAAGGTCACAGTCTCCAGTGTGGAGTGGACTGGGAAAGGATCCTGAGAATAGAATGCTTTTTATGAAATCATGGCGCAAGCTTGCAGCACAGCAGGTGCTCTTCTGGAAGACATAACATCTGTTTATGTTGGTATACCGTAGCTGACAATGAGATAATGGAGCTTTGAAATTTATCGTTTTATTCTTAAAAAGACAACTGTATATACAATAATCCAGATGCGTATTTAGCTTAGATCTTTTATTTGAAAAACGTGAAAAAAACTGACCGATTTAATTGCTGCTTTTTACATGTATATATTCAAGCAAAAAGCAAAGCGTACTGACTATTAACCATTTACAACCATTGCTGATCAGTAATACCCAAATTCTTGGCGAGGAAATACCTAGCATTCGACATAATTTTTTTTTCAATGTTCAGACATTTGTGTCAACAGATTGCAAAAGGATTTCCTGAATATGACCAAATTTCTTGAATATTAGGAGGTGTGAATAAAATCCCCCCACCAAATGAAGGTATTTCAAGGGTGAGGTAATAATGACGCAAAAATAAAATTTTCAATTTGGACAAATTAGAGAAAAATTAAGCTGTACATGAGTTGTCATGACGACAAGGATGTTCTGTTGATGAACTGTCCTCCTCATTGTCCAATCAGATAGTAGAGCTGAAGCTGGAGCATGAACAGGAGAAGACGCACCTATTACAGCAGCATAACGCAGAGAAGGATAGCCTAGCCCGAGACCATGAACGGGAAATTGAAAACCTGGGGAAACAGCTTCGCGCTGCCAATATGGAGCACGAAAATCAAATTCAAGAGTTCAAGAAACGAGATGCACAGGTAATTATCAATAATATTTGATAAATGGGTATCTAATTTTAAAAGTCATCAGCGCTTAATGTTTTTATTATTCTTGTTGATGCACGCTGTTTGATCATTTGCAAAACTGACATATCAATGTGATTTTTTTTTGTTTTCTCCACCCCTCTCCCCCGTTTTGGGGATGAATAAGGTTTTAACTACAGAAACCACAGGTAGCCAGATTAAAAATCCCATGGCGCGCTATAACTTGGCCCCTTTTTTATAATCTTGTCTCAGTTCCTTTCATGATTTTTTTAAGGTATCTGCCCCTTACCCCTCCCCTCAGCCTTAGAAAATCCCTAAGAAATATATCAGCCTCACCCCTTGCTTTTTGTTTTAATCTCTGTAGGTAATCAAGCAGCTGTTTTAGTATTTGGTTTTCCTTCCTAGTGTTGCTTTTTTACTTGAGATTTTATGTTTGATTAGATCACTCAGATTGTAATTGATAAAAATGACTCCAGAGAGAGGCTATTTCCCATCAGGTCTGTCGCTTTTTCCTGCATGCACATACACATGCCTCCTAGCCTCCATCCCTGTAGTCCCTGTTGGAAGCCATTTGGCAGAATAACCCCCAGCTGTGGTAGCATTTGACTCTTCAAACTTATGGATGAAATGTGCACTGTCAGCATGGAAAATTATCTTTATACATTTCAGATGAAAAAAAAATCTTATTGGGTATGTATCTTTGTGATACAATACATTCTTTAGGGTATATATAATCCAGGGCCTTTAGTGTATCCTCTTGAGGAGATTGCTGTGAAATTTTATGAAAGAAAAATTTGGAGGAATTGATAATAGTAAAAAGATAATTTTCTTTTCTAATAAACAATGTCATGTGCTAGGCTTACATACCTCTCATACCTCTCTTCCCATTGAAATCTAACCATACTAACCACACTACAAATAAGCTTCTTCCTTTAGTTATTCTTCCTCCTAAAATTATATAATTTTCAAACAACAAAATAAATCTTCTGGTATGTCTTTAGAGAATCTTATAGTTATTTAAAACATACAAGCACTGCTAATTAAATAAGATGTTATTTTGGGGGGTGGAGAGCGGGAGGCCATAAGGCAAAGAAAAGGAATTACTGGTTATTTTTCATCTGACCTTGAGTTGTCTTTTACTTTCAGAGAATAACTGGTATAATATGAATATTCTCAGCACAGGTTTTTGTCAGTCATGTGCATGTATTAGAAAGCTATTTTCAGCTTGTTTTGTGGTGGTCTGCTAACTAAAAAGGTAGTCATTGTAGTAGCCATGGTACCAGAATAGTCAGGTGGTTCCAGTTAGATCACCGTGTATTGTACTTTTGCCATCAACCTCATTATAGCCTTGAAACAATAAATGCTGGTCTTTTGATTTCTAGCCACTCAATTTATTAAGAATATTTTCAAATTTAACATTCTCCCTAACACACGATGTTAAACACTACCATTGTCTTCCCATGATAAGGGGGGATATTAGGTCTGAGTCAGTATAGAATCTTTTTGCATAGTAAAATCAAATAATGGATACAATAAAGTATGTTAATTTACATATCTTTCCTCTATTTTGGTGCTGTAGTGGAAAACTGACACAAACGGAGACCAAATGTAGGGCAAATCTTTGTAATTTTGCATATGCCGTATCTGCCGTATAGGGTGCGGTTCATCCAATCATAACAAAAGGAAAATTTTAGAATTTTTACATATAATTAAGCCACAGGATGTTATAAAAAGTTATTAATTGAATTTCTTCTCATTGAAATGTTAAGTATGAGACTATCTCATCTTTGCAAATATTTCATTGTCGGATATTTCTTGTATTTTGTATCTTTCTTGGAACGTTTTGCTAATTGGAATTTCTGTCTTGGGAATGCCAGTAAGCTATGCAAACTTAGCCTCAATACATTCTTGGCAAAAAGGAAAATAATTTTGTGTATCTTGTACCTAGCTGTTTTTAAAGAAGACATTTTTTAAAACTTTATCAATGAATTATATTTTTAAAAAATCTTATGTGTACCAAATGCTGATAATTTGTATTTATCTTTGGTTGTTCACTGAGGATATTAATTCCATGTTTTCTTAAGGTAAGTCTTGAATTTTCAAAATATATCTTTTCATGCTTTGGACCTACATAATCTAATTTATACCAGCTTCTATGTACTGAATTGCATTCACAAATTTCCAAAGAGCAAAGTGGGCATGTTTTTCAAAATAGAACATTTTTTTAAAAAATTACTGTGTTGTTTGATGCAGAACAAACACATCAATCTTAAATTTTAGATTGTGTAATTTTTTATTTTAGCTCCAAACAGGTTTTTCAATTCATATTTGGCTGTTCCAGTGTAGCAACGGAGGCCATTTTGTAAAAAGGACTATTCGAAATACTTAACCAGAGAGGACCAGTGCAATATCTGTTTTGGATTCCTTTGCTTTGTTTGTTGCTTCTCTTTGATTAGGGTCTTAAATGAGAATAATGTTCTAAATATCTGTTGTATGCTGATAAGAAAATAATTGTTAGGTACAATAGTTACCTACCTTAAGGTGAATCCGATCAATTAACAACTCCCTTTGGTGATTATGCTTTTATAATTATTATAGGTTAGTTTTTCTCCTAGTAATTTATTTTCTATAGAACAATTATAAGGTATAGTAATGCATCTAAGGACAGTTAACTATTTTCCTTATTTTATTTGGTGCAATTAGCTAATTTATTCTATATATGCATTATATTTTTGTCATTATACTTTGGTTTTCAATGGCAGGATATATTATGTTTTGATAATTACATTTGGTAAAGATGCATATTTGATTTTGTCACTCTCATAGAAGATGTCTAATCTAGCATCTACTAATATCATAATGTTTAAAAATCCCTCCAGGTCAGCAGAAACCAAGACATACAGAAATCCATAACCTCATTGTCAAATATTTCTCACTTACCAGGACTCTCTTGTTGAAACTGTTTTGAAAAATGATTTGATTCATTCAATCATGTTTTTAATATTAAAAATTAAAGAAAATTCAATATAAAGAAAATTTATGAAAATCATCTTAGGTTCCTTTAACATGAAAGATCTATACATAATTCTTGTTTTACTTTTGTATTGAAATATAATGAAAGAAGGTCTGTACTTTTTCCTTTTGAATTAGAATTTAGACAGATCATAGATTCCTTGAACACTCAGTTGTCCTTTTAGGACCCATTTAGAAGTTGCTTAATCTTCTAGGTTTGTTGCATAAATCGAAGGTATATATGAATGCTGTTAGGTTTTTATATAAACCTTTGTGATCTACCCAGAGGTGATGCCACCATCTTAGCATAGCTCTGTGACCTGTTGCAGCACACACAGATCAAGGAGTCAGGGGAACCAGCAGCCCCCGTGAACCAATCTCAATAGCATACAAATTAAATATAGCATCCTTGAAGGTTATCAATGATCTCTAAAAATATGTTAAATATTCCATAACATTGGATTCTAAATGTCTTTGATCCCTTAAACTGAGAATCATGATTCTAATCATAATTGAACAGTTTTTGCATAGTAAGCAGACACATCACTATGATTTCACTATGTTGATTCACATTAAGAGGCTAAACATATCACTCATTCTAAATTTGTAAACTCCTCTATTTAAAAGGGATTTTCCAAAAATTTTTATAATTTAATAATTAGATTTTAATAACATCACCTTATTTCTATGAATTTTCAAATATGAACACAAGACATAAACCTTCATTTATAAACTGGGTATATGTATGCATTCACATTTAAATATTACTGCTATTCTTCAAAGACTGATAAGTCAAAGGGAAAATTTAACAGCATGTATAGTCTGAACATAATTGCTATGTGTACCTATATACTTGGCCTTTGGTAGCATATATGGTAGCATATAAAATGAAAACATTTTAATTTCATTATGTGCCTGCTATTTCCAGCAGACATTTAGGGCAGCACTTTAAAATAACATCTACTTAAATATAGCTTAAAGTAGTAACTAATAAATAGATGATAATAGTCACATTAGAAAATTGATATAGTTAGATGTAAATTTTATCTCTGAGCTTGCCTATAAGTCATGACAAAGAGGGCAAAATGATGAATTGTGTGATTCTATTAACCCAATGAAAGAAATCATAATTTTTTTCTTAGGTCTCAGTTCTAAGAGAAATTAGTCACATGGGACCAAATATTAAAGGCATTGACCTGTAACTCTTGATATTCTCTGAATGATACAACTTTTGCAAATCAAATCTAATAGGAAAAGCTTAGAGTCATTAAGGATTTTCAAAAAATTTAATTATCAAGCTTTATATTAATACACCAAAAATTTATTTAAAATTTATTGAAAAATACTAAAAATCAAAAACAAATCAAATCAAAATTAAAATATGAAGCTTGGGTTCAGGGTGTAGCTCAGTGGTAGAGCACTTGCCTATCATGTGCCAGGCCCTGGGTTCCATCCCCAACACTGGAAAAATGCTTTTTGAGATCTAATTTTATAGATAGTATAAATCATAAGGTATAAATTATTTAAGGCATACAGTTGCTAAATTCTAATATTGTCATTTTATCATTGTAACTGGAATCTGGAACCCTTACAAAATGTCTTTAAAAGTAATTTAAAAGGTAATGCCCTAATATTAATTTTCAGTGTGTTGTTCTCTTACATCAGAATCTCTTATTTTCTGCATGTATACGTATACTGTAAAGCCTACAAGAAATAATAAAAGAAAATGATAATTCCTTCCAGGATAAAAAATGTTTGTACCTGTGCTAAAATGGCTCATACCTTACCTGTTTAACCAAAATAGTATTTAATCAGCAGTATTTATTCATTAACATCATTCACTTTGTTCTGAAGTAGTAAAGATTTTTATTGCTTTGAGTCAAACTGAACTGATTGCTTAGAAAAAACAAAACATGTGAACTATATTTTTTCACAACCTAATGAGGCGGTTGCTGCTAATGTCGCCCTGCCTTTTGTTCCCT